TTTCGACACCGCCATCTTTGGCGATTTTTCATTTTTTTTTGGCATAGCTAAATGCCCTGAAAATTTACAGATGTGTACTTCACATAATACAAAACGTTTCAAAAAATAATAAAATTGTTTAGACCCCGAACTAAAGTGAAAACAAAGAGTAAAAAGTGAAAAAAAACGTGGGCGAGCACGTTTTGACACCGCCATCTTTGGCGATTTTTAATTTTTATTTGGCTTAGCCAAATGACTTGAAAAATTTTTAGACATGTACCTCACGTCATAGAGAACTCATAAAAAAAAAAATATTTTTACGCCCCAAAATAATTTTTGGCGGGGGCCGAACGCCGTCGGATTCGGACCCCGTACGGGACCCCGAACGCCCGAACGTACGGAGGTCCGCCCAGGGGCCTCCGTACGTACGGGCTGGTAACCCTGTATATATATATTTTCAGGGTGACGGCCTTGAGATATATCATAATTGAAAAGACTGACCCCATGTAATTAAGAATTATTCTGTTCTGGTCATCTGATTGTATTTGGACTCGAACGTGGACATGTACATCAACAGTACACGAGTGTACCAACTGAGCTAGGCCTGTTGGTACAAAAAAAAAAAAAAAAAAAAACAGATTTCTTTTCTCAAGTACGCTGATTCCGTAAAATCTCCTTTGCTTGTTTTCAATGCGGCCATAGAGTTGCTATCTAGCAGGCCATGCCTGCCATTTCCCAAAAAAAAATAAAAATAAATTGGCCATAGAGTTTGAGGACGCTACAGAATCACAGTACTATACTCTGTATCTCTGATTCCATAGAATTTCCGCATAGGCAAAAATCCAGAAATTTCTTTAGTGCTCTGATGATTCCATAGAATTTCCTTTGCTTGTTTAATAAAGGCGTGGCCATAGAATTCAAAGACGCTACAGAATCGAAAATCCGAATGCTCGACAAATTGCCGCAACCTTTCACCTGTGCACGACCAGTTCCGATGTCCCAAGACAAATTTCATGAGCGCTCCTGGTTCCAATTTCCCAAGACGAAAAAACAGAAACGCTATTCTACAAAGGTTAGCCGCCAGTTCGGGCCCATCGCCTGACCTGTTAGTTTCGTACCGTCTTCACCCAAATACAACGTACCCTCTGATAAATGTATACAAGCTACCTTTCCGGCCCAATACAGATCAGATTAAACTTCATCAAAGATTCAGAGTTTCAAACCTGCCACCTCTTTTTGTTTTTGACAGACTTTTTCTTTCAGCAGAACTTTGGAAGCTTCGCCTTGACATACATTTTCAGAAATGAAACTATAAGTTATAATAGGTTAACCAATTTTTTTTTTTTTGATAAAAGAGAACAAATTCAACAAAGTCAAAATTGTCAAATTGATTATAAAATTCGGGAAAAGAGAGAGGTTCACCATGAGACAACGGCATGAGCTGTTCCAGCCGAGGTTGAGCGGATCATCCTTCTTACACGACGGCTTTCCCAAGGAGGACATCTGAAATCGAATTCGAAAACTTCAAACGGTTCTGTCAGCTGTCAAGAGCAAAAGGACACAAGTACGTGGGCATAAGCAGAAGAACGACAAAAAAACAAAAACAAAAACAAAAAAGATCATAGCCACAGCAACCTTCAGACCTACGTAGCACCGTGTTCGCGTTTGGAGGCGAACGCGAACATGTCCGCCCGAACGCAAACAAGTGCCCAAAACCCTCCGAACGCGAACATAAAAAAAAAGATCATAGCCAATACAAGCAACTTTTGCCTTGGAGTCATGTTCAAATTCGTAGCCAATCATGAGTTAAAAATCAAAAACCGAAAAAATAATTTATGTTTATTTTTGTTTTACGAAAAAAAAAATATGTTCGCGAGCTGTTCGCGCTAACGCGCGAACACGTTCGCACGAACGTGAAGGGGCGCGAACACGTTCACCGTGGTACATAAGAAGGCCAATACCTACAGCCAACTTCATTCCTATTTTAGAATTTTCACTCAACCGTTCATTGCACCAAACTTGAGGTCACCTACCTACCTATTCAACTTGAACCACCACTCCAACGGCCCCTGCACTGGCTTTTTTTTTTTTTTTTTTTTTTTTTTTGTTCCCTGACGACCCCTGCACTGTTCATTTTTTCTTGTCTCACCGCAATCACTTTTACTCAGGACGGCACTGCAGGTCTGAGGGTCGGGGAAATGCAAGTTTGGGTTTGCCAATGTAGGTCGGGATGGAGAGGTGGTTTGAACCCCCAGTACATGGGCCAATTCCACTTCGAGCATCGTGGTCGAGTCACTCTAAAACTTTGAAGACTCAGGACAGGTCCGACTAGCGAAGCTGGKGGAMAAAAAAAAAAAAAAAAAAAAAAAAAAAACGGCCCGTGCCTTGGGGTGGGACCAGGCGGGGCACCGAACAAAAAACAGTTAAAACAATTTCCGCCCGCTCCCAGGCCGACCCTGCGAGGAGCCCCCAAACTTTTCGGAAGGACTCATTTTCGATTCTCAAGATCTACTGGTGATTTAAGGGGGCCATATGCTTGCACTAGGATTTCATTCTCCTTGATGCATCTGACCACACAACAAAGTCCAGATTCATTTGCAACATTCCTAGTGTGAGCATCCCCCCTTGACCATTCACCACACCAAACCTAAAAAGATTACCAGAGCAGCAGCAGAAGTTTCTGAAGTTTCTGAACACCTCAGGTATCAGTTTTAGGCATTTTGGCCCTTTGGGAGTTCATAACAATCTCTTTGGGAGTTCATAACAATCTCTTTGGGAGTTCATAACAATCTCTAAGGATTGGGGTGGCCCCGCGGGAATCAAAAAATCTCAAGGATGCTGAATGTTCAGAGTCACTTCAGTGTGTGTTTCAAGCCCTTTGGGAGTTCATAACAATCTCTAAGGATGTGAAAAAAAAAAAAAAAAAACACAATCTCTAAGAATGTTGAATGGTCAGAGACACTTCAGTGTTCAAGGCCTTTGGGAGTTCATAACGATCTCTGAGGATGCTGAATGTTCAGAGCCACTTCACTGTTCAAACTTCAAACTTCACAAACTTCAAACTTCAAACTTCAAACTTCAAACACCTTACAAAACAGTTTAAAAAAAAAATGCATAGCTTTTTTTTTTTTTTTTTTTCTCTAACATCTTACTACTACATTCTGGAAAATCTTCATTGCTCAGTCTTCAAAGTTCAAAAGTTTCAAAATTCACAAACACACTACAGTAAGTAATAAATACGGATCCTTACATTGTTGGGCCTCAAACGTTCCTCCGTGCATGCACCGGATTGGAACCGGCGCCCTTGGCCAGACCGCAAACACCTTAGAGAGCTTATAAGTTCTTAGTGTTTTTATTTTTTTTTGTTTTTGTGGTTCGATGGACCACGGATCAGATATTAAACTGCTCAGAACAGATACTACACTTGATCTTAGCCAAAAGGCCAACAAAGGTAGTTCTTAGTGTTTTTAACTTTTTTAATTTCTACAAGTGTCATAAACTTTACATAGCAGTTTCTAGCTTTTATAAAACTATAGCAGTTTCTAGCTTTATAGAAATTTATACTTGTTTCTTATAGGAATATATAAGAACCAACCACCTCAGACTGACCAGAGAAGGAGATTCATACGCATTCACAACTTTCACATCGCTAACTTCGCATCGCTACGGTAAGTCTTCAGAGTCTACTTACCATGTGTCTTCAGAGTCTTGAGACTCTTCAAGCATTATATCCACCACTCTTATGCTTACCAACTATATAGACAAAATGAATTAGACAAAAAAAATAGACAAAAAAAACGATGCACATAACAGTCATAAGTTCATAACTATATAGCATATGGTATATAGTATATAGTATATAGTATAAATTATATACTATATAGTAAATAGTATATAGTATAAAGTATAAAGTATATATGGCAGATTGGCACATGTCCATCAACAAGTGAAAATACAGACAAGAAAATATATGTGTGCGCTGTTACAATGTGCATGCAGACTGGGATAGAAAGGTAGGAGATTATAGAAGCCATGGAATAAATGAAGCACAAGTCCTCAGAAATGGTTTGCATACCACGGGAGCAATAGCCATCGATCCCATAGTGTCCCTATAGTACCCATTGACCCCAACATGCACCTCCCCCCCACCCCACCCCACCCCACCCCACCTCCTCCTCCTCCTCCCCCTCCCCCTCACCTTCCCCTCTCCCTCCTTCCCAGCAAGAGGTTGATATTGTGTTGCCTCAAACTTTAAACCTGGCGTCCATCAAGTTTCTTCGCTCGTGGCTGTCTGAGGTCGGGAGTTTAAAGGGCCTACAACCAACCGGAAGAATTGCCATTCAGTAGTAACTACCGTCTTCCCCCAAACACGCCTACGACCAGGCCCAATCGCGCATATATATTGCAGGGGAACCACTCATAGGGACCCAACAACAAGCGGTCTCTGCATGAGGCTCGGAGTGGGTGGCTGGGCTCAATGCAATGTGCTTTAATCAAGTATAATAATGTCCTAAGTTCTAACAATTAGCGCCTTCGACTGTACAGTGAACAGGCCGACGACTGAGGCAATATATATATGCTTTAATGTTAAAAAACAGCTATTACATTGAAATGTTCAGCTTCACCCCCTCCCAAGGTCAGGTCATATTCTAGGAATTCTCGAGGAAGAAATTGAACCAAATTTTTAATTTTATTTTATTTACATTGCACGGTTTTGCACCCACAATGGCACAATCTCTACTGATTGGTGCACATGTACTAACTGATACCCACATCTGAAGAATGCCGTTCATCAAGTTTCATGGCTTTTTTTTTTTTTTTTTTTTTTTTTCCCCCTACCTAAACATACCCGTTCTCCTTTTTTTTTTTTTTTTTTTTTTTTTTTTTTTTTAGTTGCGGACGGTCATCTGTTAAAGGTAGAACAAACTGGACCACAAGGAAAATTTAAAAAAAAAAAAAAAAAAAAAAAAAAAAAAAAAAAAAAAAAAAAAAGAAAAAAAAAGAAAAGAAAAGAAAAGAAAAGAAAAGCAGAACTAACAGATCTGGTAAACTTACAGGGCGGATAGCATCACCAAGTGCATCGATGTGCATGGCAAATGCCAGTGTCACAACACACCCACAAAGACCTTCGTTCTCTCCCCGCGGCTTTGTTATGCGGACTCCATCGGCAAGAATGTCTTCCACTCCCCGCAGGTCGTGAAGTCGCCACAAATCCTCGCTTTCTACTACCTGTTTCATTGCCCGCACCAACCAGATTCATAGAATTGCGCCCGCCGACCAGATTCATAGAAGGACAAAAAAGAAAAAAGTTCAAAAAACAGAAAAGAAAATACAATGTTAGGAGTTTAGTAGTTTACCCTATTTTGCTATTCCGTAGAAAAAAGTTAAAAAAACAGTGTTTACTATTTAGGCATGGATGGTTGCAACTTGCAAGGCAATGGAAAGCAAGAACCTAGAACGTGTTGTCCCTAGGCATCACGAGTTTCCACGTACCATCCAGTAAGAACCTGGAACATGTGGTCCCCACTTGATTCCCAAGGCGATCTATATCTGATTTGGTGCATCATTGTTGCATACTCGTGAAACACAGTCATAAGTATGGCGCAGATTCCCAGAACCAACCGGATAATACAGAGTAAATAGTAAATACAAATACAGCGGAAGACTTGAGATACATGGATTGACCCAGACCTGACTCAGACTGCAATGAAACACTCACAGACATACATTGGAGGCGTGAACTGTGAAGCCCTGGCCTTGGACATAGAAGAAAAGGCCAGAGTCAATTCTCATACACGGATGAATGGAGGGGAGGAGAGGCGAAGGGAGGAGGAGGAGAGGGAAGATGACGTCAGCTCAATTGTTTCCGAAGATAGTATCTCGAAATATCAGTAGCGAAAATCCGACATGTCGTGAACACAGAGTCTCACAGTGTCTCAGATATCGATCTCACAATGTCAAGGTACATCTCCAGAGGTAGGTGAAATCAGATCCCAAAGTAGTCCTCAACCTGCAGTCTCAATGTTGCTATCCCCACGTCATCAGAACTCGTAACCATCCTTCCTACTCGTAGTAGTCCAGTAGGAGTAGCCCAGAAGTAGACTTAGACTTAGAGGGTGGGAGGGGGGAGAGAGAAAGAGAGAGAGAGAGAGAGAGAGAGAGAGAGAGAGAGAGAGAGAGAGNAGAGAGAGAGAGAGAGAGAGAGAGAGAGAGAGAGAGAGAGAGAGAGAGAGAGAGAGAGAGAGAGAGAGAGTGGAGGAGGAAGAAGAGGGAGGAACGGCAAGGCCTTTCTCCCTGATACCTGCACAAGGCAGCTATGGAGCTGGGCCGCGGGCTGGGCCGGAGGCTGGCGCTCTTCCACCGCTGCGCTATCTCTCCTCCACGCTGCGCTGATCCTCTCTGCTGCTCTACCGCTAACGCTGAAGTGCTGCGCTAATCCTGTAGACTAACATCCTCGCTACTAACCTGCCTGACTGAGGCTGGTACCCAGCTGATATAGTGCTGGGTCGGCCTCAGTCCTACTGGGTGCCTTCGGGTCTGGACCGTTGATCGGGCCCAACGGTTCAGATCCGATTTGAATCTGAAAAGTGGCGCCTAAAACTGCGCCACCGGCCAGTCCTACCGATGGACCGGTACCTGGCCTAAACTCAACTAGCCGTTGGGTCTGGTGGGTCTAAACTAGGCCTACCGGACTCTAATCTGAGCCGCCGGTTCCCTAGGCCTACCTGGACCCAGCTGCGGACCGTCGGGACCCGGTACCTAGGCCTAACCAGTGCCTACTACAGAACCGGGCCTTCACTGGGGCCTGTGTGGTATCAGTATGCCACAATCATGCTGTCCCAAGAACCTGGAGCAGGGAACATGGAACATGATGTCCCAATGCATGACCATGTTCCAGGTTCCATCCACCAGTAAGAAACTGGAACATGATGTCCCAAAGCAGATAGCCTTGGGACATCACGTTCCAGGTTCTAGGTTCTTGGCTCTTGAGACATCAGGTTCCGTTCAAGGTGCCAAGGTTCTTGGACACATGATGTTCCAGGTAGCAACCTGGAACCTGGAACATGATGTCCCAAGAACCTGGAACCTGGAACATGATGTCCCAAGAACCTGGAACCTGGAACATGATGTCCCAAGAACCTGAAAACTGGAACATGATGTCCCAAGAACCTGGAACATGGGAACATGGAACATGCAGCATCTGGGACCTAGAACATCGAATATGTCCCAAGAACCTGGAACATGGAACCTGCAGCATGGAACATGGAACCTGGAGCCTGAAACATCATGGTCCAGGTAAGCATCTGGAACCTGGTACATCATGTCCCAGGTACCAAGGCATCATTATGTTCCAGGTTCAAGATCAGAACCTGGAGCATGATGTGACGTCCCAAAGCAGACGAGTTAAACCACCAGTACCTCGCCCAGCTATAAATCTCCGACGCGGCCCTTAACGCGCCGCATCGAACGGCGGTCGGGGAAGCCAACGACCGGTAAGAAGAAAAGAGAGCAAAAAAAAAAAATGATAATAAAAAATCGATTGTGCAAAAAAAACAAGAAAACAACGGCAAAAAGAAAGAAAGAGAGAGAGAGAGAGAGAGAGAGAGGGAGAGAGAG